ATATCTTGTGTTCAGGAGAGCAGAGCGTTGCATACATCTGCTCACGCTTTTACAGAGCACCTGAGTTGATGCTCGGAGCAAACGAATACACCACAGCAATTGATATTTGGTCGTTGGGTAGGTCTTCAATATATATATATATATTATATATTATATATTATATATTATATATTATATACATTATATTTATATATTATTATATAGATAATCTCTATATATAATGTATATATATAATATATATATATATATATATATATATATATATAACGAATATACCACCGCATTTGATATATGTTCATTAGTTGAGTCTTTATATTATATATATGTATGCATAATGTTATATGCAGTATTATATATTATATATGTATAATGTTATGTGCAGTATTATATATATATATGTGTAGTATCTCTCTCTCTCTCTCTCTCTCTATATATATATATATATATATATATAGCAAACGCCTATACGAATGCAATTGACAGAATACTTGTTTTTCTTTTAAAAATGTTTATGCGTATGAATAGGCTGCGTATTGGGAGAATTGCTTCTGGGGAGGCCTCTGTTTGCTGGAGAGACGAGCGTTGATCAATTAGTAAAAATAATTCAAATCTTAGGCACGCCTACGCGCTGCCAGATGTCGGCGATGAATCCAAATTATTTAGAGTTCAGATTCCCTGATGTTAAACCAAAAGATTGGAAGGCAGTGAGTTGCCTGCATGCACGTCTATCTCTTCTTATCCACTTGATTCATACCCTTTATTCATCGGCCTTATTTATACGGTTTATTATTAGGGTTTAGGGTTTAGGGTTTAGGGTTTATTCATTGGGCTTTTTCATGGTGTTTATTATTAATAGGGTTTATTTGTTAGGGTTTATTAATGGGGCTTATTATTGGGGTTTATTATTAGGGTTTAGGGTTTAGGGTTTAAGGTTTAGGGTTTCATATAGGCATGTATTTGCCTGTATGACGGTTTAGGGTTTAGGGTTTAGGGTTTCATGTGGTTTAGGGTTTAGGGTTTCGAATGGTGTAGGGTTTCGGGTTTGCATGTTATGGTTTAGGGTTTAGGGTTTAGGGTTTAGGGTTTATGCAATATGTGTGCATGCGTGCAGGTATTTGCTTCTCACGACTGCGCACTTGGAGGAGATAAGTCGTTTGAACAGGCGGTGGATTTGATGAGTAAATTACTGCGATATGAGCCGGAACAAAGACTGCAGCCGTTAGAAGCACTTGCACACGAATTCTTCGATGAACTCAGGAATCCAAATACAAGGTTTGTTATACTATTTATTATTTTATTTTATTTTATTTTATTTATTTGATTTATTTGCTTGGTTTGTTTCTAGTGCGGTTTTTTGAGTGCCTCCTTTTTATTGCTTTGTTTGTATCTTAAAGTGATGGATTCTTCTTCTTAAATAATAATAATAGTAATAATAATAATAATAATAATAATAATTAATGCTTTTACTTCATGTTCGCACTCGGTGCAGCAACGGACGTTACTGCTGCTGCTGCTGCTACTGCTGCTGTCGTTGTTGCTGCTGTTGCTGTTGCTGCTGTGGCGTGAGAGTTGAATACATGACAGTCATTAGCAGCTAAATGCAACGCTTTGTTTCCTGAGCCCCATTTTTTTTCGATTTGTGCTGCTGCTGCTGCTGCTGCTGCTGCTGCTGCTGCTGCTGCTGCTGCTGCTGTTCTTCAGGCTTCCTGGCGGAGGGGCTTTGCCTGAACTTTTTAGCTTTCTACCGATTGAACTCGAGAGAATGTCTCCGAAAACGAGGGAGAAATGTTTGGCAGCAGCAGCAGATAGGCGGCGGCTGTTGGAGATGGGGAGCTAGCTGCAGCTGCTGCTGCAGCTGCTGCTGCAGCTGCTGCTTCTGCTGCTGCGGCAGCAACAGCAGCAACGGCTTGGGGCTTTCTTCTCAGCGTTTTACCGCAGCTGCTTTGGCCGAGCACCTCCTCCAGCAGTTGCTGCTAATGCTGGAGCAGCAGCAGCAGTAGCAGCAGCAGGGCGTGCAGCAGCAGCAGCAGCTGCTGCAGCTGCAGCAGCAGCTGCTGCTGTTGCTGCTGCTGCTGCTGGGAGTAGAGGACATGGCAGACCTTGTCAAGTGCATTGGTTGATAATAACGTCGAGGCTTTCAGCGGGCAGTTTGTAGCTAAGCACAGCAACAGCTTCATTTCTCTCTCTTTGCATCCTGTCTTTATTAATATACATTATTTGTGTATTTATTCCTTTATATATTATGTACAACGTCTTCTACGTATATGTATATATATATATATATCTATATATATTTATATGTATGTATATATATTTGCATGCATGCAAGCACTAGGGTTTGCAGGTGCATGCATGTGTGTGTGTTTGTAAATGTAATGTATGAAGGAATGTTGTATATAATATATATAATATATTATATATATTATTTGTATTATTATATGTTTTATATATATTATATACATTGGATATTTTATATATAATATACAATATATATATATTATATATATTGTATATTATATGTACTGTATATGTATGTTATTTATAATATATAATATATATATTATATATGATGAATACACACATATATATATATTAATTATGTATATTATATATTATATATATGTTATATATATATATATATATTTGTTGAATGCATATGGAGTGAATATACATTACATTTATATATTTTGCATGTTGTATATAATATGTGTATAATGTATATAATGTATATATTTATATATAAAATATATAATATATATTATAATACATTTATGTATATTATGATGGATGCAAGACCTCAGGTGTTTTAATTGGTTTGTGAAGCAAAAGACAGACAAATTTTTATTTACTTCTTCTGTCTTTTCCTTGAGCTGTACATGCAGCTAACGGCTGATGCATGAAGTATTATTCTTGACTTCTTTGCATGCATATATGCAAATATATCTATTATTATTCATTTATTTAAATGCCGCTCTTCAAGCCCCAGACATTTCTTCTGTTGGGTAAGAAGATGATGCAGCAGGCCTCATTAAAGGAAAGACAAACACCATAAAGCAGCAGCAGCAAAAGCAGCAGCAGCAGCAGCAATAGCTGCTCTTGCTGCCGTTGCTGTTGCTGCTGTTGCTGCTGCTGTTGCTGCGGTGGTGTATAATGAAGAAGATGAATGTTTGCAGACGCAGAGGCGGGGAATGGAGGAGAGAAGCCGAAGAAATATAAATTGTTTATAAAGAGTTGCTGCTGCCGCTGCTGCTGCTGCTGCTGCTGCTGCTGCTGCGCTATGCGGCGCGGCGGCTGCATGCGAATGAACTGCCTGGCGTTGTGGGAGTTCTTTATATTTTAAATACACCTCTTTATATTTTATATTTTAATTCAAAAGGTATATTTTCCTGAGCTGCTGTCTCTAGAAGAAGCACATTCAGCAGCAACTTTCACACACAGAACTGCAGCAGCAGCAGCAGCAGCAGCAGCAACAGTAGGGATTGCAGCAAGACTAGGCAGGAGCAGCAGCAGCAGCAACAGCAGGAACAACAAAAGCAGAAGACAATAAGAAGATGAAAGCGTCTCATCAAGAAAAAAAATGTTTAGGGCTTAGAGTTTGGGGTTTAGGGTTTTTTTAGGGTTTAGGGTTTATCTTCTTCTTCTCCGGCGCCTTATTAGCACTGCAGCAGCAGCAACAAATGCAGCAATTAGCAGCAGCACGAGGAGGGCCCCCCAGTTGGTGGCTGCAGCAGCAACAAGAAGAAGAAGCAGCAAAAAGAAGCATAAAAAACAAAAAAAAGAGATGAAGGAAAGACATTAAAAAAAACTATGAAAATATTTCTACCTGGGCGAACCACTGCGCACAAATGCCGCTGAAAATCTGCAGAAAAAAATAATATAAATATTTATATATTATTTGTACATTATATATATAATATATATAATATATATTATATATTATATATAATATATATTAATAAACAAACATCTATCAAAAGCAAAAACCTACCCAGCTGGCAGCCGTTGTTCGTCAGTCTTCGTTTAAACGTCGCCAGATAAAAAAATAATAAAAATAAATAAAATAAATAAAATAAAAAAAAAACAAAAGAAAACAAAAGAAAAATAACAGAGACAAAGAAACAGAAAGAAAAGATAAAATAAAAGAAAAACAATAAAAGCAAAAAAAACAGCACAACAAACATCAAGACGAAGCAAACAAATTCAGAAAAATAAAAAACAAAGAAGTTCAAATAACAAAAATAAAAATAAAGAAACAAAGACGAAGACGAAGACGCATGTCTTCTCTCTCTTTTCTTACACATTGAGCTGCTCCCGCAGTAGACGAGAAGATAAATTAATAAGGCGGTGGATTAATAAGCCTGGCTGTCTTTGTTTTTTTCTCTTTGTTTATTTGCTTACATGCTCAACAACAAGAGAGCCTGCATAGGTATAAATAAAACAAAATAAATGTAAGAAAAACCCTGAGCTGTATGCACAACAAAGGTAGAGAGAAATGCATGCATGTTGTCAAATTAAATTGAATAATTATTCTAATTCAGATTAAAATAATTATTTAAATTATCTTTTATATTATACTCACCAGCTGGAAATACTATAGATGCACACTGTCTTTGTCTGCAAGTACTCCAGCAAGAGCAGCCAGGGCTGCAAGATCTTTGTTCAAGTTCTTCGCATAAAGGGCTTCCTAAAGATATATTTATTTTTATTTATCTTTTTCTTCATCTTATTTTATTGTTGCATTAATAAAGCCAAGCAGCAGCTCCCCAGGTGTACATACAGACACCGCAAAATAATAAAAATAAACAAAATAAAAAAAAGAAAAAGAAAAGATAAAAAGATAAAAAGAAAAGAAGAAGAGACGCACCACCAACGCTGCTCAGACCAGCAGAACAAATCAGACGCCCTTTAGACCCTCCTGCACATCCTGCATTTTTGATTATCTTGTTTCTTAATTATATATTTCATGTACAGCAGCTTTCTTCACCGATAGAAGAACGCTCTTCCGTCTGGAAAGACAAATAAAGGGTTATTTTAATCAGTCCATAAATGCATGCATTAATGCTTATGCATGCATAAATGCATGCAAGAAAAGAGAATAAACCCTTTCTTTTTCTTCTTACCTCAATGTCTGCTATCAGCCGAAGACCGCCATGCGCGGCTTCTGCTCCGCAGGTGCCGTCGCAATCCTACAGATTATAGTAGGAAAAGATATATTATACATATATATATATATATATATATATATATATATATGTTTTGAAGTAAAGCGTTTAAGAGAGGAAAAGCGGCTTACTGATAAGCAAGAGTCACCTGAGGAGCATTTTATTGTTCTTGCAAGAAAAAAGAAAAGAAAATAAATTTAATTTACTGACCAATATGCACAGATCCGCGCTCTAAAGAAGAACAGAGTTCAAGAGGTTTCTGCTGTTCTTCTTTATTTTCTTCTACTGGAGGCCCTTGCGGATTTTGCATGGTTTCAATGCAAAATGCAGCAGTAGAAAACTAAAACAATTAAATATATATATATATATCTATAAATAAGCGTCTTTCATATCCTAAACAAACAAAGAAAAACTAACTCTGCTTTCGCTTCCTTCTACCGAAGAGCAAGCTATGCTGAGGTGTACGTACACCTCAAATTCTGCAATTAAGACAAGGAAATGAGTCAGTAAAAGTTTTATTTATACAAAATATTAATTTATATAAAGGTTTTATTTATATAAACTTTTTATTTATTGTTTTCATTGTTCAAACACAAAATTTCAGTGAGTAGAATCCGATCCCTCCAATTGACAATTTGTGAAACAACCGGCAACAAATTCGCCTTCAGAATAAACAAATATATATATATATATAAATGCATATGTATATATATATATATTCATGTATATATATATGTCTATGTATATGTGTATATGTATATACATGTATATATACGTATACATATACATATACATGTATATATATACATATATATACATATATATATATATATACAAACCCTAATGATTCCCTTTACAAGCAAAACAAACGCTTTTATGTTCTGCTCTGTCGATATGTATATTGTTTACTGCCTCCATTGTAGACGGCGATGAAGAAGAAATGCAGGAAAATAAGTGCTTCTTCAAACTGAGAAAAGACTAATAAATCTAACTGGCATTTCTGTTTTAAAGACAAAACATTAAGACTGCTGCTGTATATCCCTATTTATATTTCTGTCGCCTCTCTTCTGTGCTCTTCGTCGAGCATCTAAGAAACTCATATACTCTCCATAACTCTGCGGATACACCTGAACCTCCTCCGGGTCTTTTGCTCTCATCGCCTTGCTCTAAAAAAAACAGCAGCAGCAGCAGCACCAATAACAATAACAATAGCACCAGTAGCAGCAGCAGCAACAACAACAATAATAACAGCAGCAGAAGCAACAATAATAATAACGAAAGCAGCAGCAGCAACAATAATCACAACAGCAGCAGCAGCAGCAACAATAATCTCAACAGCAGCAGCAGACAGAAGACAACGCACTTGTCTGTAATAGAATACCATTCGGTTAGTTCGCCTCATCGGCGCTCCTGCAGCGCTGCTGGATGCATCTACCTGCATGCACATTTCCGAACAAAAGAAAAAATAAAATAAATAAAAAAGATGAAGAACAAGATGCATGCATGCACGCATGCATGCAAGTAATAGACAGACAATACAGACAAAGCAACATATTATATTATATATATACCAGCAATCAGAAACAACAACTGCAGCTACATAAAGCAGCACAACAGAAGCAGAATTATAAATTATATATTTATTTTGAACATATTAATTATTCTTATTATCGTCATTATTATTACTATTATCATTTATTATTATTATTATTAATTATTATTATTATTATTATTATTATTATTATTATTTACCTCTATCTGTACTTCGTTTCTGTCGCTCCACACAACTGTCGCTGTCAGTCGCAGTATATCTCCTTGGCGCACGGCGTCGAAGAAACGGATGTCTTCCATTCCTAAATAAATAAATAAATAAATAAATAAATAAAACAAATAAATAAATAAATATATATATATATATATGTATATATATATATATGTATAGATTAATAGGCCGAGAGATAGATATATATGAATATATATAAGTATATAGAAATAGACAAACAAATATATTACTTAGAAGTTGACTCAACAAATAATAAATAAATAAATAAGTAAATAAATAAATAAACAAATAAATAAATAAATAAATAGACTAACTGCATATATTAATATTTATTATTATTCCTTAAAATGTGAATAACTGCATAAATATAAATAAAAATATAAATATATAATATGATAGAATATTAGATAGTAATAAAATAAATAAATAATATTTATATTTATCTTTGTACGCACCAACAATGACTGGATAAGTCTCCCTCAGAAAGCGCTGAGCCGTTAGAAAAGAGAGCTCTAGCGCTGTTCTCATAATATAACCTCCAAAGGCTCTGCCGTACATACTAATTGTCTCAGGCTGCATTAATATGTTGCTTTCAAGTCGCGTATCTTTGCACCAAACTATACCCGTGTTAGCGCCACTCCCAATGCTGCTGCTGCTGCTGCTGCTGATGCTGCTGCTGCTGCTGGGGGTGGTGGAGATGACGCTGCTGGTGGTGGGGATGATTGTGCTTGTGTTGCTGCTGCTGCTGCTGCTGCTGCTGCTGCGGCTGCGGCTGCATGCAGTTAACCAAGTTTGGTGTAAGAATTCGCTTTCCTCTTGCAGCGGAGCCCACTGTCTTTGCGGACGTCTTGCTGCTGCTCTCCTTGCTTTTTGTCGCAGCTCTGCTGCATGTAGCTGCAGCTGTAAATATTTATCTGAAGACTGAAGAGATGCTAAAGGCGGTAAAACTTTCTTAGGATGACCCTCTCCATCCACGTGTACAAACACTAAACAAGCCGAACCCATCAAACGACCCTCCTGCATGCAACAGCAGCAGCAGCAGCAACAGCAGCAGCAACAGCAACAGCAGCAGCAGCAAATACAAGCATATAGGTAAAGCAAACAACAATGAGAGAAAAGAAGAATAAGCAAACAGATAAAGTAGCAGCAAATAAGAATAACTGTTGCAGGTAGAAGATACACCAATACAAACTCCAGCTAAGTGGCTATACACCTCAGCGCATGCATATAATAGCATTTAAACGCTGTAATACTTCATTATCTTCTCAGCTGTCTGCCTATACACCCCAACAGAAGATAAAAGATAAAAGACAAAAAGAAAGCAAAGCCTCACTTGGTGTAACTCCGCTGTGATTTCAACAGACGAACTGCCCGCATATGAGACGAAGCCTCTTAGAATTAAATCCTTATCAACAGAAATATAAGGAAAAGAAGCACCTTCAGGCGTCTCCTTCACCCCAATGCTGCTGCTGCTGCTGCTGCTGCTGCTGCTGCTGGTGCTGCTGGTGTGGTTGCTGAGGGGGTCGCAGCCGAAGAGGCGTATAGAGTCGATGGCGACGGTTAAGAAGAGATCGTGTCTGTCTTTAGTCAAGACAATAGAAGGACGAGTATAAGCAAATGCAACATCAGCAGCAAAGCAATCGAGCACCTCTAATAGCCTCCCGTTTCTTAAGGCTGAGGGTACAGATGCCTGGCGAAACACATCCCTTAAGCGAGTTGCTTCAGGAGAAGATAAATTTAAACGTAATTCAACCCAAGAATAATCTATCGGACGAGGGTCTTGGGGCTTTAATGGAGGCCCCTTATACTTCTTTGCATGCGCTGTAAAACAAGATAAATCAATTGCTGTATGATGAGCTAACCAAGATATCATTCGAAGCCGTTCAGGGATCGATACCTCCTCTATCTCCCCCGATGGATAAAATAAACAAGGCTCTAAACCAGAAGAACGAGCTGCTGCTGCTGCTGCTGCAGAAGATGTCGCAGCCTCTGCTGCTGCTGCTGCTGCTGTTGCTGCTACTGCTGCTGCTGCATCCGACACTGCATCGGTACTTGCATACACCCCCCTAACTTCGCTACTTGTATTCATAATGCCGGACGAAAATGCACGCGCCATATACACTCCAGGCTGTGCATACACCCCAGACTGCATATACACCCCAGGCCGACTATACACCCCAGGGCTGGAAGGCGCCCAACGCGGCCTGACGAAACATCCGCCTAAGCCAGAGCGCTGGGTTGCTGCTTTCCAGGTGTATCTCCACATGGTGTGTACGAAGAAGGGGTAAACAAGAAGCAATATAAATAACTAGAAGTAATAAACAAAAGAAATAATGAGCAAAAGAAGTAATAAACTTCTACAGAAGAAAGCAGCAACTCGGAAGAAGCTGATGTACAGCAAACACGGAAGGAAACATAAAGACGAAGGCTAAATATAAATAAAATAACAACAAACTAAAATTGACAATCTGAAGAACAAATCCCTAAAATGCAAATCAAGGTGAAGATACACCGCACACAAAAACACCCAACGGAAAAGCCGTCTTAGCTAACGGAGAATAGCGGAGATAAGCCAAGCATTCAATGCATGCATTTGTCATTCTATAAAATAAAACCTAGAAAAAAAGAATCAAAAGACTCATCGATAATGCCGGAGAAATAATAATATAAAGGGTTGCTGTGCTTGCGTACATACAAACAGCCACCCTAAAGCTAGTGAAAGACTTACGCATAAACGCAAGTGCAGTTGTGTTCTCCAGCACTCTATGAAGGAACTTGTGTAAAAAAACCTTTGAACACTGTCATTTAAATGATAAGAAATAAGAAGAAAATCAGAAATATGGTGTACGTACACCAAAGCTGTTCCTGGAAGCAGCTTCACTGCTACTGGGGGCCCTCCACAAGGGCTGCAGCATCGGTCTACAGGGGTTTGTCTGAGGCTGCTGTTTATCAGATGGATGAAGATAATGACGGAAGTTTTCATTAATCTTTTGAATCTTGAATTCGTTACGACTGAGGTGTACGTACACCTGAAAACGCCGCCAACGCAACTCTAGCCTGTGCGGAGCTTGTGTTGGATACGATTATTATCTGTTCATATCTGATTTCCCGATCTTAGCATTTCTCTTTGTATTTCTTTTTATGGTGTATTTATTCTTTATTCTCTTACAATTATTGTGAAAATCAGAAGAGAATTATACAAAATCCGGCTGCTACGAATTAGGCATGCAAATCCAGTTGTTCGTGGGGGGAAGAGCTGCGCTTTCATCTCGAGGGTGTTCGGTAGCAAGTCGCGGTGTTAATTGGCCACTTTCTTATGAATATTTGAAGGTAAAAACAAGAAAAATAAAAATAAAAAAGTTTATTTCAACGAATAATAATACAATTTCATCGACAGGAAATTCAAAACGCTTTCCGGATTTCGGCTGCGCAGCAGCGGACAAGATCTGGATTTCTTCTTTTTCATCTATCTTCAGGAATCAAATTCATTCTTCTTCCTCTTTAAAAATAAAAGACGCAATAATGACGCAATTAAGTGCTCCAAAAGCTCCTAAAAAGGGTGAGAAGTGTTGGCGGCAGCAGCTGTCTAGCAAACAGCGTATAGAAGAAAACGCAAGGAAGAGTAGAGTTGTTAAACTTCTTCATTTCTTCTTTCATAGCTTTATTGGGGTGTACGTACACCGTACACTGGACTAAGCTTTTGCGTTTGTTTTGCTTTGTTTGCTGCAGAGCTAGCGATGCCTGTTCCTGCTTCTTACGATCCGCATTATGTTGAACAAGGATGGATGGACTGGTGGTTATCTCAGGGCTATTTTAGCCCCTCAGACAGAACAGAGATGCGATCGAATTCATCAGGTGTACAGACACCTGAAGAAAGGAGAAGAGCAGCAGCAGCTTTCGCTCAAGCATCCGCAGAATCTCAAAAATTTATTATGGTGATTCCTCCGCCTAACGTCACGGGCTGTCTACACATCGGGCACGCATTAACTGTCGCTATTGAAGACGCTCTTGCAAGATGGTGCGGATTGCTTTTTTAGTTTTGTTATTGTTGTTTGTTTCTTTCCTCCTTTTGTTGCTTTCTTCTCGTCTTTTGTTTGTTTGTTCTCTGCCTTTGTTTGGTTCTTCTATCCTTTTGTTGTCTCTTTCTCTCTTTTTTTGTTGCTTCTTCGTCCTTGTTGTGCATTTCTTTATCTGGTTGCATCTATTTATCCGTCTTTGCAATATAGCTATATATTTATGTATATATATATGTATATATATACATATATATGTATATATGTTTACGTATATGCGCATATATATATATATATATGTATATATTGTGTTGCTTTTGTTATACTACAGGAATAGAATGCGAGGGAAAATCGTCTTGTGGGTGCCTGGCGTTGATCATGCAGGTAAATGCATAATTAATATTTTCTTCAATATGTAATATTATTATTATATATTTACATCTATATATATCTTATCTAACTACATATTATCTATTGAATATTACGTATAGAATATAATATTTTATATGTATAAGTATTGTAGATTAACTATTTTACGTTATATATTATATTTGTTTTTATTCGTTTCTTTATAAACCTTCTTAGCCTCTGACTGTCACGAATGAATGCGTTGTCTACATCTTCTTGTGAATACAACAGAAAATATAATTAATAAAATCAATTGTTATGTATATTATGTATATACATACATATATATGTACCTGAATATATATATATATATATGTATATATATATATATTCTATATATATTATATATATTACAATTTTAATTTGAATTGTTTTTTGTTTAAAGGCATCGCCACTCAATCTGTTGTTGAACGCATGCTAATGAAAGAAGAAAATAAAAGTAGACATGATTTAGGAAGAGAAGAATTCGTCAAAAGAGTATGGGACTGGAAACAGAAATACGGAAACACCATCATGCAACAAATACGGTAAGCCACAGGGTTTAGGGTTTAGGGTTTAGGGTTTAGGGTTTAGGGTTTGGAAGGAGGTGTATGTGGAACGATGAAGGAATGCGTAGCCGATATGGGGGTTTAATTGAAGCTCATGCTGTACGCTTTAGGGTTTAGGGTTTAGGGTTTAGGGTTTAGGACGGGGTAGGGGTTTTAGGGTTTAAGAAGACATTATTGAGTTTTTATTGGATGTGTAGAAAAGTGAATTGAATAAGTAGAACAAATAGAATATATGAAATAAGCTGTAAGGTTTAAATGAGGTGAGAAAGATTATTTTATTTGCATTTCTTTTCTATTCTTTTCGGGTGTACGTACAGCCAAGTTGGCAGCAGCGTCGCTTGGGATTATTTCGCCTTCACTTTAGATGAAAAACTTTCTAAAGCCGTCGTTGAGGCCTTCGTTCGCTTGTTCAACAAGGGATTGATCTACAGAGAACAACGGTAATATATATATATATATATATATATTACATATACATATATATATATGTATATACAAATATATTATACATACAATCTCATATATACACATACGTATATATATATATATATGTATATATATATATATATATATATGTATATATGTATACACGTGTGCATTATGGGCGATATATCAATTAATTCGTTTCATTATTCAAACGAATGAAGAGGATTAAAAATTAGGGTTTGTGTTTTTATGTTTTTTAATTAGGCTAATATCATCTGAGGATTCATTTGTTATTTTTTATTGTTGTTTTCTTCTTCTTTCTTGCTCTTGTCTATGGTTTAGGGTGTAATGTATATAATAGATGATTTATTGTTTCTTCTTTCTATTATTATTGCTATTTTTTTCCCTTATTTTTCTTTATTTTTTGCTTATAGACTTGTCTCATGGTCTTCTTGCCTTAAAACTGCTTTAAGTGATATTGAAGTCGACGCAGAGACAATTGAAAAGCCCACAACCGTCCGAATTCCAGGTTTGTTGATATTCAATTTTATTTAATTTGATTAATTCCTTTTGATTTTATTCGTTTAATTTATTCAATTCATTTAATATAACCCGTTTAATTTATTAATATATTTATATATATTATTTATTGATTTGATGGAAATAGTGCAACCTATGTCATGCATTTAATTTATTTATTTCAATTTATTTGATTCTTTCAATTTACATTATTTTATTTATTTGATTCATTTTATGTACTTCTTTTAAATTAATTCATTAAATCCACGTCATGTAATTCTTTTACTTGAATTTGATATCGTATACACACACTGTATGCAATATGTATATATATATATATGTATATATATATATGTGTGTATATATATGTACATATATGTATGTATACGTACATATATATATATATATATTTGCGTTTATTTATTTATTACTATATATTTGTATTTGTTTATGCATTTATTCAGGGTTTGACTATCCTGTAGAAGTTGGTTATCTATGGCATTTCGTTTACCCAGTTGAAGGCGGCGGAGAAATTGAAGTGGCTACGACTCGCATAGAAACGATGTTAGGAGATACGGCTGTAGCAGTTAATCCTAAAGACAGTCGTTATAAGGCAAGAGAAGCAAATAAATAATGAATAAGAAATATATTATATGTTAATTGTTTCATTAGTACGAGTTGTTGCTGTTTATAACACGAATAATAATGTATTATTTTAAATAATATTTATTTTATTTCCATACAATCATCATATTCATAGAAACCATGTTAGAAGATACATCTTTTGATTGTTTTCAGCGATATTTATGCGTATTTCTTTTTTTTTTCTGCATTAAACATTGTCTATTTCTTATGTTAAATTACTGCATTGAATTAACACAATTATATTATATTATATTATATCATTTATTTATTTATTTTATTTATTTATTTATTTATTCTTCAGCATTTGATAGGGAAGAGGCTGCTACATCCTTTCTTTCCGGAACGAGAAATGCGTGTAATTGGCGATGATTACGTCGATATGGATTTCGGAACCGGCGCTGTAAAAATTACCCCAGCCCATGATAAAAATGATTATGAAATAGGAAAGAGACACGGTAGGTATATCTATATATATATATATGTTTATATATATATATGTTTATTTATTTGTTGCTGTGTCTGTGTCTGTTTATGTATATCTGTGTGTCTTTATCTCTCTCTCTCTCTTTTTTTCTATATCTATATAACTGTATTGAAGTGTCTATATATTTCTATTTATATCTATGTAGTTATATAGATATATCTTTTCTATATCTTTATGTCCGTTCATCTATATAAGATATACCCATATACATGTATGTAAATACCAATGTGTCTATTGTGTCTATATCTATATTCGTATCTATATCTATATCTATATCTATATCTTTATATACATATTTTTATCTATATCTATATGTGCGTACATCTATATCTATATCTATATATCTATATCTGGGATTAAAGTTTATCTCTCTCTCTCTCTCTGTATATATATGTATATATCTGCGTATACATTATATATTGCTTTTCTTTTGTTTATTTAAATGATTTTATTGAATATATTTTTTCATAGGGTTGAAATTTATAACAATTTTTTCTCCGGACGGCCACATAAACGAAGAAGGCGGAGAATTTGCAGGACAACATCGATTTACATGTCGTTATAATATTCAACATCGGCTTAAAGAAATGGTATATTAAATGCTTTCTTTATATTAATAATAATAATAGTAATACTGTCAATAATAATAATAATAATAATAATGTTAACAATACTCAAAATAATAATACATCGATTTACGTGTCTTTATAATATTCAAATTCGAATGTTAGTAGTGGTTGTTAGAACGTGTATAAATAAAGGTGTATATACATGCATTTAATTAATTACTTTATATATATAAGTATATATATATAGATATAGATAATAGATATAGATATAGATATAGATATAGATATAGATATAGATATAGATATAGATATAGATATAG